TTCTGTGCAAAAGTGCATCATGGCTTTTCTGGTGACCCAATACAAATCATGTCCCAAACTTGCAATCTGTTATTTCTCTTAGGGGCTCTATTTTTATTTATTTATTTATTTTTCTATTAAGGAGGTACGATATTTCAAGACCACAATCTGGGTCCTCAGGTGCTCATTGATAGCAGGTTGTCAGTTTTCTCAGGCCTTACCCATAAACTCAGCTAGAAAATAACAATTATTTTAAGAGAAAGTTTTGCTATAGAGTGTCTGTGCTCACCGGAGAGAGAGAGACAGGAGACAGAGACAGACAGACAGAGACAGACAGACAGGAAGTAAGAAATCAACCCCCAGGGGTATGGACATGCTACACCCTTCTCCTCCATTCTCCTCTCAGGATTTTGGACATGCATGCACACACACCTGGCGTGAGTTTTAAGCCACCATGTCCGGGACTCAAACTGCAGTCAACTATGTGGGAGTCCAGTGACATAACCATTATGCCATCTGCTGGTCTTGAAAATACACAACTTTTGAAGAGTAAAGAAAATCGTGATTTTATGCCAATATTTACAATTCTTTTAATTTAAAATTATAAGGTTTCTTTTATCATTTTATGCTTGTATCTCTTCTTTTGAGAATACCTTGTTTCTTTTTAAAATTTTTTTGGAAAGGCTTTTTTTGCTATAGGGCGCGTGCACTTGCCAGAAAGACAGAAAGAAACAGAGAGACAGAAAGCAAGAAATCACCCCCCCAAGGGGGATGGCCACGCCGCAGTCCCTTCTCCTCCATTCTCCTCTCAGGATCTTGGGTATGTACGCACAAGCGCCCGGCATGAGTTTAAGCCACCGGGTTCAGGACTCAAACCGCAGTCGACTACGTGGGAGTTCAGCGACATAGCCATTATGCTAACTGCTGGTTCCGAGAATACCTGTTTCTTGATGTGAAATTATTACTTGCTTCTGTCCTTTAATAGTCTTAAAGTTGTTTTTACAATGTTAATACTAACAATCCAATTACAATAAAGTAACAATACATAGCTTATGACTTTTTTTTTTTTGCTTGTAAAGCATTGAAGTTTGCAGTCAGAGTATTATATTTAATATGACTGAATGGAATCCTGTTTTCTTTGTGATTTTGCCTCCAATAGGCAGGCTCATTTGTTTGACTTCCTTTGCGGTTTGTAGAATTGTTTTCTTTCTATGTAATTATGTTTCTAAATTTGGGAAAGTGGTTACATACTTCCCAAGTCAAAGTTACTAACAAGATTCCCACTTTGAACCTGATACTGTTCATCCTTTGCTTCCTTCTCTATATGTTTAACAAGTTCTGTTACTTTTTCTTGTGGTGTTCATTTTTAAAACTATAAGCAAGTGTACGTATGTGCATATTATACTCACAGTCATATTCTTTTATCTCATACACAAAGTAGGGATATAACCAAAACAAAACCCAAAAGCAAACACACAAACAAGCTCCTGCTGGGTAGCCAGGTCTTGCTTACCAGTGTACCTTGGAGATTATTCACATCGGAATATAGAGGTCACTCTCATTGCTTTTATAGCTGCGTGGTACTAGATGTATAGACCGTGTTAATTTAACCAGTTCCTCATTGATGGACATTTGGGTTATTTCCAGCCTTGGTGTTACAAATAGTGCTGAAACGAATAGTTCTGTACATATGTCTTTTTGTATTTTTGCCAGCATATCTTTGGGATAGATTCCTAGAAGTGGGATTGCTGGATCAGAAGGTAAATACATATGTAATTTTGCCAAGTGTTTTCAAGTTTTCTTCCCCAGAGACTGTGTCATTCTGCTTTACCTGTTTAACCCTAGGCTCTCCATAGAGTATATTGTCAAACTTTGGAATTTTTTCCAACCCGATAGCTCAGTGTAGTTTTAATTTGCATTTCTCTTGAAAAGGAGAAAATTTGGGGACCAGCAGTTGGTGTAATGGCTACATCACTGGACTCCCATATAGTCGCCCGCTGTTCGAGTCCCAGACCCCATGGCTTAAACTCATGCTGGGGGTGTGTGCGTGCGTGCCCAAGATCCCAAGAAGAGAATGGAGGAGAAGGGATTGCAGCATGGCCATCTCCCCAGGGGGTGATTTCTCGCTTTCTGTCTCTCTGTCTCTCTCTGTCTTTCTGGCAAGTGCATGCACCCTATAGCAAAAACCTCTCAAAAAAAAAAAGAGAGAGAGAGAGAGAGAGAATTTGCATATCTTTATTTAACGATCCCTTGCATTTGTTTTGGATAAACTCTTTTCACCTATTTTGCTCATCACCTCATTAGTCATATTTCTTCTCAGACTTAGTAGTATGTTTTTTTTTAAGTCTCATTAGTCATATTCTCAGACTTAGTAGTATGTTTTTTTTTAAGTTATTGCAAGTTTATTTTACTATTGTTATTATTTCTTTTTAATTTGACCTGAAGGAGGGAAGGAGGTGGGGAGAGAGAGAGAGACAGAGAGAAAGAGAGAGAGAGACAGAGAGAAAGAGAGAGAAAGCAAGCCACCAGGCCTGGGACATGAATCAAGGTCAGCCACGTGGGAGTCTAGCACCTTTAACCACCACGCCACCTGCTGGCCCCTAGGTTTAGTAGTTTCTAATGTGTGAGAGCTTTTTTGTTTGATTGATACATCATTTTAAAGACTTACTTTTTTATTGCTGTTATTTTTTTTTTTCATGTTTAACTGAGCCTGCTGTTGAAGGGACTTCATGCTTGCAAAGGCCCATAACCGCCCAGCCCTGTGATGTTTTAGTAATGAAAATTGACTTCCTAGTGGCCTGTCCTTCCAGGATGGTCTCAGAGCAGCCTTTGCCGGCTTGTATTTCTGATGAAAATTTCCAGCTACATAAACACCTATGGAAAAGAATATGAGAAACAGCTATGTATCCGGCATGAATATTTAATAAGTGTTAACATAGTCCAGTATTTGTCTGCATTTTTTTTATTGCAGTAAAGGGTCTGTAACATGAAACTTACTGTCTTAACCCTTTCTGAGTGTGCTGCTCCGTGGCAGTAAGTACCTGCACGTGGCCGCGCGGCCGTCAGTGGCCCTCACCGCCCGTTCTTCATCTTCCCGACTGAGACTCCGTACCCGCAGACCGCACCCTCACAGCCCCCTTACCCTTGCTTCCTGGCACGTGGGTCTGATACTCTAGGTGTCTCGTAGAAATAGAGCCATGCAGTTTTTGTCATCATGGCGTCTTCAGGATTCATCTGTATCGTAGCAACTGTCAGAATTCCTTTTTCCTCTTGTGTTAGGTTTTCGCCATAGGGGCATGTACGTGAGACAGGGAGAGACAGAGAGAAAGTGAGAACTCACCCCCAGCGGGCATGGCCTCGTCTCAGTCCCTCCTCCTCCGTCCTCCTCTCGGGATTTTGGGGCACGCACACCCTGACTGATCTGTGCTGCTGATCGTCTTCGCTCTGCTGCTGTCCCAGATGTCCTCGTACCTGTCCCCCGGGTCCATGCGAAGCTGGGGTTCCCCCGGGGTGCACTCACTGGGCAGCTCTTTACTGAGAGCACGCTGCGCCCCAAGCATCACTCCGAGCACAGAGATGTGTCAGTGAACAACCAAAACCCATCTCTGCCCTTAGGCCGCGTACGTGAGGCGGGACCTGTTGGGTTACGGGATGTTTGGACCATTGCCCACTCCACGCGTGTTTACCGAGCAAGTGGTAGACCAGGCATTTTAAAGTCGAGATGACAGAGAGCTGTAGGGGTGACCCAGACACACTTCCGTCTTCATGGAGCTTGTGATCGCATAGGGAAGGTAAAAAGACGTCGAGCAGAAAAACATACGTCAAGTAGAAAAGACGAGTTCAGTATGAAAAGCACGGCAGTTCAGGCTTCAGAACAGAATTCCGCATGGTAGTGCCCACACACACGTGCATGTCACTAAGACTGGAAGTGCCACAAAGGAGGGGGACGCGCAGCCCCGCTTACATGGCGTCCATAGGCTTTTCTGAAGACATCGAGCAGACGCTTGAATCAGTGGAAGGTGTGATGGACACTGGGAGATGGGTCTTCGAGCGGAGGAAACCAGATGAAGCCGCTTCGTGGAGAGGACTTGATTAAAGAATGGCAGAAACCCACCCCCACCCCACCCCCGCGCAGTGAGCAGTGAGAGTCTAGTTGGAGATACAGTGGGAGGGGGGACAGCCAGGGCTGCAGCTGATGCAGGGCCTTTGCAGTGTCCCAGAGAGTTTAGATTCTATTTAAGTGTTGGGGCCAGCAGATGATATAACGGTTACACTGCTGGACTCCCACAGGGCTGACCGTGGTTCGAGTTTCAGACCCAGCGGCTCGAACTCATGCCAGGCGCATGTGTGTGCATGCCCAAAATCCCACGAGGAGAATGGAGGAAAAGGGATTGCAGTGTGGCCATCTCCCCTGGGGGGTGATTTCTTCTTTCCCTCTGTCTCTCCAGTGAGCACACAAGCCCTATGGCAAAAATCTCTCTCTCCAATAAAAAAAAAAAAAAAAAAAGATGTTTTTAAAGTGTGATTGAAAGGTGAAAGATTGTGGTTAGACCTTGGACTAAGGCAATAGTAGATGGTGGTGAGTAATGAGATTTGGGATATGTTTTAGAAATAGTACCTACAGAATTTTAAAACACGGTTTGGTAAGTTGCAAAGGGGTGGGAGGAAAGTAGGGGCTTTGCATTTTGTTGGGTCGGGCTAACATGTGGAAAGTAGTATCTTTCATTCAGGTGGAAAGTACCTGGAAAGAATAAGTGGAAAATTTAAGTCCGAATGCCTATTAAGAGTCTTAAATGTTTGGCGTCAGATACTACTTGCGCCCCAAAGTGTTCATAATAGCTTACACTCCCCTTAGCTTTATGTGGTGGATTTGGGTGAACTCCAGCTGTGAGTGATTCAGGGGTCCCCCCCAGTGAATGAGAATGTCAAACTACTGTCCCAGTGGGCTCCATTGACAGTGCACTAAGGCATCCTACCATTAAAAAAAACAAAACCCCCAAAACCTTCATTTTTTGGTGTGCAAAGTCAAAACTTGTGGAATAAATTCTGTAAGTTAGGCTCACGAAACTTAGGTTTTTCACCTGTTGAGCTTTCTTCAATTGGGATTCACTTGCTTTTGTTTTGTTTCGTTTTGTTTTTAATCCCAGATGCTGGATCTGGAATGGAAGAAGTAGAACTAAGCTGGGAAGAGTATCTAGAAGAGACGGGGTCTGCGGCAGTTCCCTACGGGTCTTTCAAACACGTAAGTGACAAGCGCATTTGCGTTTCTGGTTGTGACCCCTCTCTTTGAATCTCTGCACGACCTGAGAGAATTGAGAGCCCTTTTAAGTTGGGGCACTTTAAAGAATTTCAGAGGTCTTTTTTTTCTTTTCCTTCTTCTTGCCATCCTCATTTTGAAAAGAAAAAAAAAAGCTCTGATACTCTAAAATCCTTTTTGGTTTTCTATCACTTAATGCAGGACTTGTCTAGACTTGGTGTACTGGGTATCAAACTTAATGAAGACAGTATCTTGCTGCTCAAAGGAAAGACAGATCAGGAACATCCACTTGTATAGGTGATGATTTACAGTAGCTGGGAAGGGGGCTGGCTTTATTGTAAATGCATATTGGAACAACTGAAACCTGACCCGCAGCCCAACTCCATGTACAGAGATTGAGTCCAGGTGGGTTCTAAATGCGAAAGGTGTCCAGGAAATAGTCTAGTTATCATGCTTAGAACAACGAGGCATAGGGAAAGTTGATTTTAAATATAGGAAAAACATTACTTAAGAGAAAAAAAATCCATAAATGAGACTCTATTAAAATTAAGAAGTTTTAGGGGGGCTGGCAGGTGGCGTGGTGTTTGAGGGCGCTGGACTTGCACATAGTCTACTGTGGTTCAAATCCTAGCCTGGCGACTCTCTTTCTCACTTTCCCTTTCTCTCTCTCTTCTCAGTCTCTCGTTCTGTCCCTCTCGAGTCAAATTCTAAATAAATAAATAAAATAATTCTAAAAAGAACTATTTTTTTTAATTAAGAACTTTTGCTCATCCAAAGATACTGTCATGAAAATATGGCATTTGCAGTGTAGATAACTGTCAATGACCTCATATCCAAAATATAGACCAAGTTAAATAATTCATTAGGCATGTCCCAAAAGAAATTCCAATGGCTCATAAACATGAAGGTCTTCAACTTCATTCATAAGCAGATAATGCAAATTAAAATCGCACCAAGGATAACTAGTAGAAACATAGACCATCCCAGGGGACTGGTGAAGATGGCTTCCCATGTATGTTGCATGTTATACTAATGTATTATCATTACAACGTCTTTCTGCCCTTTTCCTTCCTAAATGCCCATTGTCGAGTGATCCAGGAACCTCTCTTGAAAATAGTGTGCTGGAAGCTGTTAGAACGGTGGCTGTTGTGTAACTCATTGACTTAATAGAAAGCATTTTCAATAATAATAATGGAATGCTTCGGTGAAAACACCAAGTTCCTTCGGCGTCAGACGGAACAGAGAGGTGCTGCTGTTCCCCTGTGTTGTTTGGATCATTCCTACGAGTTAAATTCGGAATTTCTCAGCTTTCCCTTGCGAGGATTTTATTACATCCAGAGCTTCAGAATGTTAAGTCTTAAAAGTGGATGTTGGCTAAACAAGTACTCACTGAAGACGCTTGTTCTGTGCTTCCTGACCTCTCCCTGTTCAGGTGGACACACGTTTGCAGAATGGATTTGCTCCTGGGATGAAACTGGAGGTGGCTGTGCGAACCGACCCTGAGACCTACTGGGTCGCCACCATCATAACCACCTGTGAACAGCTGCTCCTCCTCCGCTATGACGGCTATGGGGAGGACCGCAGGGCGGACTTCTGGTGTGACATCAGGAAGGCTGGCCTCTACCCCATTGGGTGGTGTGAGCAGAATAAGAAGACCCTTGAAGCCCCGGAAGGTAGTAGGATATTTCCGATCAACGAGATAAGACGTTGTTGTAAACATGTTTTGGATCGTCCAGTCTCGAGGTTTTCGGTCTCCTGAAACACATGGGTTGACCTGATTTTTTTTTTAGATGATGGTTTTGAATGAAAACGTTAGTAAGAAATAGTGCACATTTCCCTGTCTTTTAAAATGATATGCTGTGCTCCACGAAGCCTCGGGTCTCTGTGACACATGGGGCACATCAGTTGCTCATCACCCTTTGAAACTGTGAGATGCTCTCACTCCGAGACTTGCAGGTCTGGCTGTTTTTAAGTACCCGGGCCAGGTGGATGTGCCGCTGATTCTTTCTGTTTTCATTGTCCTCTTTCCTCCTACCCCGGAGCAATCTGGGAGCTATGAACTCATAAAGGAGAGCCAACTGGAATTTCGTTCCAGGAAGGAGCCTTACTCCGAGTAGAGTCCAGACGGAGCAGGAGAGAGAGGAAAGGCAGAGAGAGAGTGAGAGAAAGGCAGGGAGGAAAGAGACTGCAGATTTAAGAAAATCCCGGCCTTTTTATAGTTTTCCTAACTTATTTTGATAGAATTTCACATTTACAGAAAAATCACAAGAATAGAATAGGAGATTCTTGCATACTTTTTGCCAAATTCCCCCAAACATTGACATTTTCCATTTGCTTTATTCTTTCTCCCCGCCCACATATGCTATTTGATAAATCATTTGAGAGTCAGTTTTAGATATGATGTCCTTTTACTCATAAGTTAAATGTATTCCTTTTTTCTTTCTTTCTTTTTTTTTTTTTTTTTTTGAGAGGTTTTTACTATATAGAGGTTTTTACTATAGGGCAGGGCGCATGTGCTTGCCAGAGAGACAGAAAGTGAGAAATCACCCCTTGGGAGATGGCCACGCCGCAATCCCTTCTCCTCCATTATCCTCTCGGGGTCTTGGGCACACATGCACACGCGCCCGGCATGAGTTTAAGCCATCGGGTCTGGGAGTCGAGCTATGACTGGCTACATGGGAGTCCAGCGACATAGCCATTATGCCATCTGCTGGTCCCAAGTTAAACGTAGTCCTAAAAGCAAGGTGTTCATGAGGAAATAAACTTGAATGCAATACTATTATTTAATCTGCAGACTGTTTTCAATTTTTGCCAATATTCCCAGTAACCTTCCCCCTTGTTGGGGCCAGCAGGTGGTGTGGTAGTTAAGGTGCTAGATTCCCATGTGACTGCATGCAGTTCAAGTCCTGGTCCTGGCAGCTTGCTTTCTCTCTTTCTCTCTCTCTCTCTCTCTCATCAAATTAAAAAATAATAATGATGATAATAAATAAAACTAAACAAAATAATTGAAAAAACCCTTCCCCCTCCTTTTTATTTTTTTAATTGCCAGAGGACACACGTGCTCATGAGAGAGGGAGAGGGAAAAAGGATTCGTCAGTGGGCAAAGTCATGCTGCAGTCTCTGCTCCATTTTCTGTCCTGTCAGAATTGGGGGCACACGTGTGCATGTGTCTGGCGTATTTTTCAAGCCACTGTAGCTGGGACGCAAACCATGGTCAACCGTGTAAGATCCAGCTCCCTTAACCACTAGGGTACAGGGCCAGCTCACCAGTAACTCCCTCTTTCCCCACATAAAAGAATATGCATGGTCGCGTGGCATCCGGTCGTCATGCCTCATACATTCCCTTGGATCTGGAACAGTTGCTCAGGGTTTCTGTGTCTTCTGTAACGAACCGTTCACAAAGTAACAGGCCGGTTTTCTCCGTCGCGTTGACTGCGCCCTCCTTCTCTCCCTGGGGCTGCGTCTCAGTTTTTCTAACCTTCCTTTGTCATGACATTGTTGAAGAATGTACAGGCACATCTGTAACCCTCCCATGGACTGGCCATGAGGTGACAGCGGTTGAAGCTAGGGCTCATAAGAATTTACTGTGCCGTTTTCTGCATTTTCTGTGTGTGTGAAATTTTCCGTAAGAAATACAGTAGGGGACCGTAGCCCAGCTCTGTAGCCGAGTGGTTAAGGGAGCTGACCTTGGCTGGCCATCGTTCCA